GATGTGGAAACGCTCTCCTAACCCTAATAATGTGCTGAGAAGAGTATGACTTGGCATCACTTGTGAAAAAAGGTGCAATCCACTAAGACCGGCCCAGCAATTGAACTCACAACACACACACAACCCAAATTCCCACGTGTCCCATGTGTCATATGTAAGAATGCTCACTGCAGCACTGTTTCTAATAGCGCAAAATGGGAAACAACCCAAATGTCCATCAAGAGCAAAATCATAAATAAGTTGTGCATTTTTATATAGTGAAACACTGCAGAGCAACAAGAAGAAACACTGGTACACACACAAAACATGAATGAATCTCACAAACAAAAGAAGTCAGACACAAGGGGACACATCATGTATCCTAGTAGAGAGTTCACTAATAGACCAAAGTAACCTATAGTCTCAGAAGTCAGGAGAGAAGTGACCTTTGGGGGGAAATGACATGGTGGGGAGGGAGAGAGGGTTCCTGGCTGCTGACACTGGTCTGTACCTTGGCCTTGGTGCTGGTTACATGGATGAGTTCATCTCGCTAAATCACTGAGCTGTTTAGTTAAGACTCAGTGACATGGCACTTTTCTATACAAGTGTTGTATTTCAATAAAAACTTAAGTAGATGGAGAGGAAGGAGGAAAGGAGAAAGGGAGTGAGCAAGAAGGGATGCCCTCAGGATATGTCCAGTCCTCAAGCACCATGCCTCTTCTAATTAATATGTTTGCTTTTCATATTTTGTCTAGTTCTTCCTTTAATACCAAGTGATTCTGTGGCATTTTTCAATGTTATCCATGTGTCTGCTGTTATCAGGCCAATTCTGTCCTAATTTCTATTTCACTGTTTGCCATGGGATTAGAAATCCTATAACCAGCCATGTGAAAACAGTATGTGAGTTACGAGTAAAGAGATTCTGACAAATCTCCTATGAGTAAAGTGAACCCTCTTTAATGTAAGTCTTTTTCTTTTTACTCCCTATTTTGCCTGCTCAGAGGCTTTTTTTTTGGAGAATATGCCAAATATAGGAGTTGCAAATAGACAAAGTTGTAACTGATCTCCATCAGTGAGTATTAGAACTCTGGTTTAAAACCAGAATTAACTAACATGGAATTCCAGATCCCATGAGTTTACTTGTTTGAAAATAGTATAAAGGAGATTATCAATCAGTAAATATACTTAAAGAAAAGAAACTGCCAACTTCTTACATAAAACATTTCAAAGAGCTTTTCTAGTAGTATCGTTCACAGAACATTATATCAGTTTTAAAGACAATATATAGTCCTTTCTCATTTTGTATTTGTATTAATTTTGATTTTAAAACTCCCCCAGAAAATATACTCTGGGTTTTATTTAAAACCTTTTTAAGGTTTCTAATACAGACATTCAGGTTAATCTGAGGATACCCTTTTTCTAAACAATAATCCACAAAGTTAAAAAACAAAACTCCAAAATACCAGCCAGTGGTTATTTCCTTTAACATCCTAATTCCGTGTAACTTCTTTCTGGATTCTATCTCCATGAACTTCTCTCTCAAGAGAGGAGCTAACATGGTACACACAAGGAGAAACCCTTCACAGGGAACTCCCTGGCACTGAGGGACCTAAAATCAAGTTGAGGCAAGTGGCTGCTGTGGAGCAGAATTACAAACAGAAAACGTAAAGCATCTCTTTAAACCAGGAGAAAACTTCATCGGCTTTAGTATCTTCAGCTGTGACTAAAGCAACATTCATTTGGTAACGGTCATTCAATTAAACAGGTATCACTAGAGCAAAGATGAAATATTAATTCCTACCTCCACCAACAGTTTTCCATTTAGTTTAAGAAAGGCTTACGAAGTTCTTTGTGTCTCAGTTTCCTCATCTTTCAATGAGCATAGTAACCCCTTACATCTACTTAGTCTGCAGGGAAGAAGATGTTTTGGTTCATGAAAACAGCTACAGATACATGTAATTTCACCCTTACTCTTTCTACCACCATCTTTTTTGAATACATAATTCAAAAACAAGTAAAACCTGATCATTAAGGAATAAATGAAGGATATCATGAAAAAGATTGGAAGAAAAAATTTTATCTCTTCTTTGCCACAGCAATAAATCCATCACCACTGATAGCTGGCTTTTTTGATGCCTTGTTTGAAGTGCCACTGAGCTGCTGAGACTATAGAGAAATGCAATAAAAGTCAGTGCCATGAAATCATTATGACAGTCATAAATAAGACTTAGGAGAAAATAAAATCAGCCACCTCTTCAAATGAATAGTATTTGAGAGAGAGGGAGCTAGTATCTGTGTATGAAAATGTACATCAGACAAAAGAACGAAGTAAAAGGGTGGGTCAGGAGGCTCCATCTTTATTGCTGGAAAAGTAACTACGGTGTGCACTACAGGTGATATAAAATATTGTCTTCACGTTAGAACGGCAGCAGCATATTGTCTGTTTCGTGACACAAACATAGCAAATGTTTGTATATTGGGAGAACAGCAAAATGTATATGGAATACACTGAGCCCTGGCCTTCTATGAGAGAAGCATTATTCTTACCTTCCTTTAAAGTTCCCACCTTGGGCAAAAAATTCCTGAAAGTAGCAAGACCTAGTTTTGTAAGGCCTTATCACCTTCCTGGATGTTCCTAAACTATTTTGCTAAATGACTGCCCCAAAATACATAAATTTCCTAACGCACAGGCAGGCCTCAGACCCTGTGCCGGCCGGGAGAGTTCTGCCTATCCCCTCTACCCCATCAAGTCCTGCACCCTGGTTCCTTCCTTCAGCAATCCAGGAAAAACTGCAGAAACTTTTCTCTTAGCTTTAATTATCCTTAGCTTTTTCTCTTCTCAGTTTGTCCTTCCACTCCTAATATGTCTACCAACCCCAGTCTTAGATTTCATTCATATTATTTAAAATGCTCAGAAAGAAACTGCAGGAACCAAGCGGCCGTGGCGCGCTGCCTCTCAGAGCAGCAGGGAATTCTCTCCCCGCGCTCCCCTGACAACAGTCCTTGCGGACTGCAGCGCCCTCAGAGGCAGGCAGGCAAACCTGATTATCTACGTGATTCACCAGCTAATGTGCATTTCCTTTCCTTAAGTGGTGTGTTTTTCCTTAAGATGCAAGCTATGGCCAGACGGTCTCTCTTGTTATCGGAACAGGGAATTAGAACCTCAAAATTGTACTTGCCAGAGCCCAGTAAAAAATGAAATTACCACCAGCGTGCGCTGGAAGTTGTCCCAAAGTTACCCGATTTCTATGACATTTTTTTTCTCTAAATATGATGATTCCCTGTATTCCCCTCGCACATTATTGTAAACCCAAAATATTGGGGTCTAACCACTTAAAAGTCTAAAATGATAACCCTAATATTCCAACATATAAAGTTATATACTAAGAAAATGACCTGAAAGAAATCACTATAAACTGACTACAATGTGACAATCTCATGGCCGAGGTGCCTTATAGATGTTAGTAAGTCTCCAGAATGACTCTGAAACATTAAGAGATATGGAAAACCTCATTTTTGAAAACACTGTCATACAATATGGTAAGGGAGTTGGTGAGGGGGGAGAGCAGTCTTAGTTTCCTGTTTCTCAGAGGTAGACCGGCCTGGAACTATCCAAATATCCCTTCTCACCTGCCCCAATCCCAAGCTTATATATGTCCTGCCTGTGCCTCAACAGTTCCTAAGGGCACTACTTCCCTCTTTTCATCCATAAATGTTGGAGTTTTTGCATCATCTTATTGGAGACTGAGATAAAAGTTAAAACAATTCAATTCCAAGATTTAATATACAGAGAACAGAATCCTATCTTACATTTAACTTTAAAATGAAAGTAAAAGTTTTTTTCTCAGTTATGAAAGCTATAGAAAAATAGCTGACATGCTTCTGTGGAATGAAGTTCCACTAATAACTTCAAACTAAGTGCTATAATTACCAGGAAAATTATTTAAATGTTAATGTGACAGATACAAGGAGGGAGTTCTTAAGTCAGAAATCTTTTCAAAAGATACTACATTGGCTTTAAGAAGTCACTGAATATTTTTCTAACTGCATTGAATAAAACTATTAAAATCAAAATGAAAAAAGTAAATAAACCCTAAAGGGCAATGTACACTTTCATTCAGGTAATATTCTAACTCCAAGTCCCAGATACAAGAAAAAAGGGAAATGCCATACAGTGTAGTGCCTTTCCGGAAAGGAATTGTTCCAGGATTGGAGGCAAGTGTGTGTTTAGTACTGCCTGGTGTTCACAATTTCCCATTTGCAGCAACTTTCTCCAACACTGAAGGGAAGTGGGAAAAAGAATGAGGAGGGTAACCAAAGTGGTTAACTGCTCTTCATTGTCAGGATTGGAAATTTAGAACTTGCTGTGGGCAATTAGGCTGAGTTGGTAAGGCCTGGGGGAGGAATGAAGGGTGGGAAAAACAGAAGGTTCACAAGGAACTGAAAAAAAAAATGCTTTACAAATAGTAGAACAGAGGCAGAATGGCTTCCTTCTCCATCTTTAACATCAAGTTCAGGATTTGGGGATTTTTCCCTTTGTTCTTTAACAACTTGCTCCTTGTATTTGCTGCAGTTTACTGATGGAGTTCCCAGTTCCTGCCTCCTCTGGTGACTGTGATCACCGGACCGGCCAGGGCTGGGTGAAATGCAGTCACGGAGGAGAGATCACCTGTCCTCGCCCAGGCGCACACGCCGCCCAGTGCCTGAGGAAGAGCTGCGCTGTCGCTGGCCAGGAGAAAGCCCAGTTTGACCTCGGCGTCCCCCTTCCGAATCCATCGCAAATAATTGTGTGTGCCACTTACAGAGAATCTGCCTGACTCACCCCCCGCTTTCGGCGTGCCAGGGAGAGATGTGAATGCTCCGTCCCAGAGCCGGCCGTGAAGTGGGGGCCGCGGATTCGGGAGCACCAAGTCCTCCAAAACTCCCCCGCTGATGGACTTGGGGATGTTTCCCCCTCGAGCAGGTGCCCAGGGACCACCCAAGCTCACAGGCATACACGTGTCACTGCGCCCGAGCCCAGCATGCCGAGTCCGCGGGCCCCACCGTCCCGGCAGCAACGCCCGGTTGCGCGCAGGGGGCTCTGCAGTGGCGGAGAAACAGAACAATCCAAACTCCTCCTCTCAACGCTGAAGAGAAAAAGAGTGTGAGGCGGGGGAGAGTACGTTTCCGCGGCAGCAGCCTCCACACCCGGCCGGCGCCCAGTCCGGGGATGCCTGGCCCGCAGCTGACCGCTTTCCCCCGCCCGGAGCGCGCCCAGGCCGCCTGCGCGCCCTCCCGGACCGGCCCCCGGGCCCGCCGCCACCGCGAGACACGGGGCGCGGCCGACCCTCTCCACCGCTGCCGCGGCCGGGCGCTCACCTCCTGGGGTCCGGCTTCCGTCGCTCCTCCAGTTTGGCGGCTGAGTGTGGGGCCGCAGTGGCCGCTGCCACCGCCGCCGCAGCCGCCGAAGCCCTGCCCGGCGCGCCGCCGGGGCTGGAGGCTGGGCCCCCGCGGGATCCCCGCAGGCGCGGGCCCGGGACGCGGCGGGGCCGAGCGGCGGGAAGTTGTCGGCGCGAGGCGCGGATCGAGCGGGCTGCGGGCCACCGGCTCCCAAGTAGTCACAACTTTGCCGCCCGGGTGGGTGCGCGCTCCGGGGCGGAGGGAGGCGTGAACTGGGTGAGGCGCCGGGCTGGGAGGGCCCCCGGAGCCGGCACGGCGGGAACCTGAACGGCCCGCGAGGAAGGGGCAGAAGGTGGCGCGGGGGAGATGTCTACACGGCCCTCGGGATGTGCGGCGGGGGAGAGCGTGAGAGCGCGGGCGGCTACTCTACTCTGCCTTCCGCAGCTCCTGCATATTTATGGGGATCTCCGGGGTTGCCGCCAGTAACCACACTGCAGCAGTGGTGCCGGCCCGGGCACCCCTCGGGAGCGAGCCCGGGGACGGGGAATCGCGGGAGGCGGCCGTGGCGCGGGCTGTGCCATGAGCGCGAGCCCGCGATCCATATTTAAAGCCGCGAGTGGCCTCGGCCGGCCCCCTGCCCTGCCCTCGCTCGCTCCCGCCCGGCCCCCACTCTCCGGGCCGCCGCTCGGCGTCAGCCGCCCGGGCATCCGCGGCGCGGGGAGGGGCCTGGGGCTGCACCGCCTCCGCCGGGGGCTCGGGCGCCGCGCGCCGCGCCGCGCCCGCCTGGACCTGGCCGACGACCCAGCTCCCGACCGGGCTTCGCCTTCCTGGGTTCCTTCTCACGCCCTGAACGGACTGTTAGGTCCAGCTTTTTGCCCTATTCACAAGAGTTCCCCGCTGGCGAGAGCCTGTTCTCTCACGCAGAACTGAAGTTGCTCGCTTTTCTCAGCCCCAGAACACTCTTGATGCTACTTTATAAACTTGAGGATATAGGTAGAGTGCTGTCGACACACGGAATTGTCTTCGTTCACTTTTAGCAAACAAAGTGTAGACAGAACATGTTTCTCAACCTTGCCCTTCGCTTAGGTCACTGATGGTTCCTGTCTTCCTCTAGCATTTTGGGAAACATCTTTAGCCATCCAAGGAGTTACTTGAGCGTAGTACAAAGTGATCATTTGTATTTACTATGTCCCTGAGACTAATTAATGAGGTTTAAGTACCATTTGCTAAGCAAATAGTACTAATAATGTATCAGTAACCCAGCCCCATTACGATCAGTTAAGCCATTAAGATATGAACCAACTAGCAGCAGTGACACCATCTAATGTTCTGAGTACTGTTAAAGAGTAGTCACTTAATGAATTTGAGCCACACAGTATATTACATAAGCATATATGCATTTCCTATTAATACATATTATATATATGTGTGTGTGTAAAAATATTTAAGTGTGGAAGTCACTGACTAAACTACATTTTCAGTAGTAACCACCAAACACTTAAAGCCCAAGAGAAATAGCTCCACATCCAGACTACCTGCTCCTGGTTCTATCTTTCTTCAATATTAAGCTATAACTAGTAAGATCTCCAGGAAAAAATATAGAGAGAGAGAGGAAAATAATTTGGGGACAGAGGCTTTTCTTTTCAATATTTAAAACCTGACATTATCCACTGTACCTCACCAGTGCTTGGAAGCTAGTATAAGCTTGTACCTTTTCTAAAATTTGCTATGTTTAAAATCCTTAGTCAATGTCCAGAAGGCACCCCAAGCTGTGTAACGGCTGAAATTAAAATATACTAAAGTCGTGTGTCTGGCTGTTGTTACATCTGGCTCACATATATGTTCACACATTCTACATGACCCACTGCAGTGACATGGGAAATTCAAAACAGAAGATTTTTTTTAATTTTAGCTTTAAAGTTTTTGTCCACATACTTATATTTTGTTTTTAGACTAACATTAAAATTAACTTTCAGTCCCTGAGCACACAGCCAGAATCAGCAACCCCAAAGTAAGCCCACAGGCAAAGGGAAGCCACTGCTGTTCAGCAGTTTTTCACATAGTAGAGTATGTATTTCAACATAGCCGGCAATTTCTCATTATAATCGTGAACCAGCCAGAATGGGCAGTGTTACTGAAGGCTGGGGAGAAGAAAAGGACAAGAAACTTGTGTTTTCCAATATTCTGCTGCAAAATATATCAAACTGTCCTTCAAGCAAACCAAAGAGGTAACCCCTGGAGCTATTATCAAGATTGGCAAAATTATACGCTGAAAGGAGTATAAAGGTGGTGTGTGGGGTGAGAAGCAGGGGGGCAATTAGAGTACTAGAGGGTGAGGTATGTGTGTGCCTTAAATTAATGAGAGGAAGTGTTGTCTTTGGCAAAGAGCCAACAATCTCTATTATCATTCTCATTACTTGATGTTTGCTATCCCACAATTAAAAAAACATGTTCCATTTCCTTTCCTATCGATTATTGTCCAGTAATTGAGATACATGTGTTTCTCCTTTGAAAGGTCATTAATTAACTTTTCTTGTTAACTCTGCATGGGGTCACCTTTGCTATGACTATTCTGGCTGAGGACAATGAATCCTGAGATCTTTTTTCATCTGTCCTAAAACCGAGTTATATCTCTTGATTTTTCATAAGCCCAAAGAAAGCTTTATTTGTTCTGTCTTAGGGTTCACACAGATTGTTGACAAGAATAATGAACAGAAAAATTAATGGAATTAGAAAAACAGTGTAAGTAATCTTCACTAATAATGATTTGTTTTTTTAATCAATAACTGTCTGCACTAAATGACCTTCTGGACTACCTACCCAGTACTTAGGTTATCAATCAAGTTTCTTTCTTATCACCCAAGGTCGGAACAGACATCTAAAGAAAACAGCAAGATGGAAGAATTTTGTTTCAATGACAAGCACCATCTAGTGGCAGCAGGTGGTTAAACCTTCTGACATCATAATATCTCCAACAATAACGACGAAAGTTTTTGAATAGGCGTTCAAGGCGTTTCTAGTCTTGCATAAGCTTGACACTATTTGATTTCAAAACAAGAAAATTTGCATGTAGTAAAATAATGCAACTAATTGGCCCTGTGTTAATTATGCAAAGTAAGAAGAGTACAGAGCTGACCCACAGATAGAATTATTGCCATAAAGAGTTTCCCTAATCTTTGTGTGACTTGGAATAGTCACACCTCTGTATAAAGACCTCTGCATTTTTGTACTTAAAGACTTCTGTATTTATGTTCCCTCAATAAAAAAATAAGGAAAGTGATGGCTTGTCACTAATTATTATCTATAAAGCACTTTGTTCAACAATAGCAGAACTCATAATTATTATATTGGGGTTTTTTCATTATTTTATTTTATTGGAAAAGAAAAGGAAAGTGAAATATATCATTGAATGTTTATCCTGGAGTTATCCAAAATTATTACATTCACTTGGGGACCTAAGCAAAAAGATGTTGGTGGATACTACAAACCTCAAAGAATGATCAGAAATGTTTTGCAACATGAGATCCTCTTTAAATACTGAGCTCTTTGGTGGAAGTTAGATAAATACTTTGCTATACAAAATAAGGTTTGCTTTGTGCTGATGTTTGTTAGTTTGTAGTTGTTTTGTTATTAAACATTGCAATATCATTAAAATTGTCACTCTGTAATCAGTGCATTCAACCACTTCATGATGTACTAATAAGGTAAGAAAATCACTTTTTCTTCTCTTCCTGGGTGTAGGCTGGGATGAAACTAAAGATATAGAGAAAGAGAGAAAAAGATAACTTAATGGCCTCATTTTTGTTTCATTTACACCCCAGAAAGTTCATATTCAGTCTGACAAATTTCTGGATAAATTCAACTGTCCTAGAGTTAAGATCTATATTCCTTTCTTCAAAACCCTGGTTTAAAAATACTGTAACCCCTTTAAATGAGGTGAGAATAAAGGTGAGCACTATTTTTACAAGGTGCCATCATGGCATAAGCTAGGGAAAATAACTTTGTTTGGTTAAACTTGCTGTAAGTTGCTTCAAAGCTTAAACTACTAAGCTCTTAACTGTATCTGACTGTCATTTTTAATTCACATATCTGAAGTCAAATATTAGGAGAGGTTATAACTTCTAGAAATAGGAGCCTATCTCTTTTAATGGTGAGGGGGTCATATTACTTAACCTCTATGGACCTCATTTCCCTCAGCAGTAAACTCAAGGGGTAAAGCACTAAAATCAAAATAATTACAAAAAAAGTTCTGATAGGATACCAGAATATTTTCCTCTAATGCAATGTGAACAATATGTTTGTGATAAACATGTAAATTTTTCAGAAATGGTATTGACACATTTATTATAAATGCTGCTTAATAACCCAGGCCAGCCTCTTCCTCCTACAGCAATTATCCCATGGATCAGCATAACACGGGGCACAGGCCTCTGTTTAGAAAAGAAAAGGAAAACTTAAATGAACTACTAGGCCACTAAAATCTATGCCTAAGATTGGTCTGTTTTTAGGTCGTAGAGAATTACATCAGACTTCTGTGCCAGAACCAACTCGCAGGGCCCTTGGATTGTGTGTGTGTGTGTGGGTGGGTGGGTGGGTGGGTGGGGTGTGTGTGTGTGTGTGTGTGTGTGTGTGTGTGTGTACCGGCCACCTCCTATATACAGAAAGGTGCAAGGTGCTTGTTCCTTTGTCTCCAGCTGGCCTCCCACCTTCTCAGGGGATAAACAAGCCCAGATGGCAGGCTGCTCTAAAGTTGCTCTTGCTTAACTCACATGGACACAGCTGTTTCATTGCATGGAGAGAGTTTTTCTACAGATTAACCGACCACTGGATCAAACTGGGCCATGATCATTCTTGTTCCACAGGTCTGTTTCCCAGGCTAGGCCTATCTTAGAGACCAGAGCACCTCAGTCTCCTTGCAAGTAACAAAACAAAGTTGACACTTTAAGAGCCCATCAGCCAGTCCAATTTCTTTACAGGAAATGCTGTGAGATTAAAATCTGAATATTAAAACTTGGCCCCTTTATCCACCATCCTGAAGTAAGAAATATTCTGAGAAAATCTGCCCTTTATGACCTTTTAATTTCTCACTGCTGACCAACGGATGCTTACTTCTACACAGAACACAGAGCATGATTGGATCATCCATTCAGTCCACAAATATTTATTAAGAACCTACTCACTAAGTGTCAAAGACCCCTATAGGTGATGGATTCCTGAAACAAGCAGAAACGAGTTCTTGCTTCATGGAGCTTACAAGTAAACAAATAAATGGACAAGATAACTTCCATTTCGTTGGAATACAAAATGCTCTGAAGTAGTACATGCTGTGAATAGGGTGACCAACCATTCCATCTTACAGGTCCAGTTTACTGCTGTTATCCATGTGTAATAAAAACAGCACTCCCTTTCACTCTCAAAAGAGAAATTGGTAAAAAGTTACAGAATCACCCCAGCTCGAGAAGAAATAAAACATGGTGAGAGGGCAAAGGAGAACTACTTTCAGGTAGGAGTAGGGAAGGCCTCTGATATCGTGATGTTTGAGCACACAGAGCTGAACGACGAAGATGCATAAATATTAAAAATTTTAAAAGCAACTTGACAGGACAAACAGCATCTAGCATGGTGCCTTACACATTGTAGAAACTCAATAATTACTTACAGAATGATTGATTTCATCTACTCTTTTTGAAACATTAAACACAGAGTCTTACTCAACTGGAAAATAATTATATTAAGACAAATTCAGACTCCACAAATTCCTTAGGACATCATACTTCTCATACAAGAACTTTTAGACTACATCTGTGTATTTATTTGCATGTACATTAAATATCTCAGAAGGATACATAAGCAACTAAAAGTACTATTTGCCTTCTAGGAAGAAAACTAGGTGATTTTTGAGTAGGCATAGGAAGGAGACTTTTCACTGTATCCTTGTACTTTTCTAAATATTGAGCCATCTGGAAAGACTGTTGAGTTTTTAATTTAAATTTGAATTTAAAGTATATAAATAATTCCATTTACATGCCTACAGCTATGTTTCCATACAAATAAGCATATAATTAAACAGAAACCCTTCTGATTGACAGTGAGATTGACGTCCTTACAAACTCTGTAGCAGTGGTTGCCGTGATGGCAATGACAGGACTGGCGAGTCTGAGCCTTTCCTAGTTACTGGGTGTGGCTCAGGGCTGAACGGTGTTTGCTCGCTGCCACCTGGGCTCTGCTCAAATCAGCACTGGGGGATAAAAAAATCCTCAGAAGGATATTGCTGCTTTTCTTGCATTTGAGCAAATAAAGACAATAAAAATTTTTTAAACTTACAGTACTAATACTATAACAGTCAGCACCTACAGAGTTGTTACCATCTTCTAGGGGGGACTGTGCTAATTACTCAGCATAAATGAACTCATTTAATTTTCATAATAACCCTATTACTAGTAATGGTATCACTGCCATCACCAAAAGAAGCCATATGAATTCCAGAACTCCATACATTTTCACACATGGCAACTGTTTCAGATTTCCTCAATTCTTTAAATTTCCTCAATACAGCATCTTGCTGTGCCTCTGATTATAACTCAAGGTTTTCAAAAATGAAAATCTGCTCCTTTTTCCATTATAATAGTAGCTTCATTATTAAAAAGCTCTAAAGTATAGAAAAAGGAATAGCAGTGAGAAGTATCCTCTTTCAGAGAAGACTGCTAATATTCTGGCATATTTTCTTCTTTGTATAATTTAAATTTATGGTTTACAGTTGATATCGTATTTTTTTTATGTTGTGGTTATGGAGGCTAATTTTGAGTATGGACACACTGGCCTTTGGTACAAAAGAGAGAGGCTAGGGAAAAAGGCAAGGGGCATCCAAATCTGGTGCCATCTTGCTAAACCCAGTTGGTAATATTGTGCTCTTATCTCAACACAATTCCAGAATTGCCCTTCTATGTATGAAAATTCATATGAAACAGGCTCTCTATTGATAGTTCCTGCTCTCTGGCAAGGAAAGTATTACAAATGCAATATCTGGCAAATCCAACTTACAGTACTAATACTATAATCATCAGCACCTACATAGTTGTTACCATCTTCAGGGATGGTTCTAATTACTTAGCATAAATGAGCTCACTTAGTCTTCATAGTAACCCTATTCTTAGTTATGGCATCACTGCCATCACCACAAGGAGCCACATGAACACCAGAACCCCATACATTCTCACACATGGCAGCTGTTTCAGATTTCCTCAATTCTGAGGAAGTTTGGAGTTAAGGGTTAGTCTTTCTTTTGACTTAAAACATCTGATCCAGAAGAGTTAGCTAATTATTGGAGAAAACCATGCAATGTGACACCTGAACTTCATTTACTGCTCCAACTCCAACCAAATCTGACAGAATACACATACACATTGATAGCAACACCTACATATACTTCTGAGAACTCAGCTATCCTGAACCAGAATTTTTGGAAAGTGAAGACACTGTATTTTGGTTTTATTTTCTTCTTTAACATGGCTACTTCTTTATCACAGCTACTTAAAATGAGATTTTTCAGTAATGTTTTCTTTTAACTTCACTCATATCTGTGTGTTTTCTAGCTACAATCATCCCTACAGGGCATACAACAGACATGCAGCATATATGTCTGAAGGTCATTAACAACTTTCCACAAACAGTTAACACCATGGTATTTGCTTGTACTTTTCCTCCTTGACTTTTTGATTTTTCGTATTAAGATACAAGTGAGGGAAGGAAACCTTTTCTTGGTGTTCTGGTATTGTTATCATTGTGTTGGTATATAGGGCCTGGGCCTTGTACTAGCAATCTTCATCCCTAAATTAAATTTTGAGGCTCTAATCTCTGTTTACCAAAAGCTAAAATTTCATTCCAGAATTATACAGAAATTGGTGACAAACTTCCTTTAGCTCTTCTTACTTGCTTAAGCTTAATGTTAGTATTTAGAAAAAATTTGTCAGAAAATATCTGTGTCAGCATACGTAATGGTAAGTCAGAATCTGGAAAGAGGGGTCACTTTCAAATTACTGCAAGGTAAATTCCTTTCCTCTCAGTTTTCCATCTAAGTACTTTGGTAACTATGATCCAGGGAAAATAACCCCAAGTCACTTCTTAGTACTCACATTTCTTCATAAATTTACTGGTGCCTTGGAATCAATAGCCTGGCATCCTAGTCCATGGAAGGTACTAAAATAAGCCCTGAAGAGGAAGAAAGAATTAGAGCAAATGGAACAAAGTAGAAGAAAGAGTGTTAGGTGGGTCTCTCTGGTCCAGTCAGTGGCCCTCAA